CTGCTTAATAATTTCCATCATCACAATCCTCTTATACCTATAGATATCCATCTCCACAAGTTAATTACTTTTTGCATTGATTTGAAATTAGTAATTAGTACTGGTAATTGCGCTCTAAACAAGTACCTTAATAGCAATCAAAACAATTTTCTGGACAAGAATATTTGCAATAAAAACAACCATCATAGGGTTATAAATTACCATCATCGCAATCCTCTTCTATTGTAATAATTTGATCACCACAAACAGAAAGACAACTTTTATTGACAAATTCATACCCATCTTCACATTTTTAAATGCATTATCCTCCTGTGCATATGTTACAATCTTCAATGCATTGAAATTTGCAATTAAAACAACCATCATTAGGTTGCTAATTATCTTCATCACAATCCTCATATTATTCAAGAATGAATTTATCTCCGCAATAAGGGAAACATTTATTTTCATATATTTAAAATCCCACTTCGCACTCTAAGCAAAATGAAAAGTAGCTGGTTTTACAATATTCAATTAGTATAAATCTGCATTCCAAACAATTATCCTATCCCCCATTAACTGTCAGTTCACATTATTCAGTTGAATAAGGAATTAAATTACCATCCCCGCATAAAGGATCACAATTAAATTTAGCATTAATAATAAATCCATCTTAACATTATAAACAAATTCCAAATTAACAAATTGAACAAAATTGTATGCATGAATATTTGCATAAATAACAAAGATCAGTCGATATTAGATTCCCATCATCACATTGTTCTTAACCTTGAATAATTCCATCACCACAAATAGGATGACAATTTTCTAGAAATTCATCTTAAATCCAACCTTCTTAGCAAATTAGACATTTTTCATCAATTTACTCTAAACAACCTTCATTAAAATTATTAAACATTGTTTCAGGTTAAGTGTAAAATACTTCAAAATCTCTTACACAACTATATTCTGAAACTAATTAAGTTTTAATATTTATTAATAATATAGGATCCTAATGATTTCTTATAAATATTTCTATTTATTAATTATAAGAACTAATTGTTTATTGACCATAGAGATAGTCTACAATTATTACAGCATCATTATATTTAAAAAATCTTATTAATACATCTTAATGAGGAGGTAATTGAGTTGAATATTTAATTTCTGTAAATTACAAAAATTAGCAATTTTCACAATCAAAATAAGTATAATAATTATAAGGTGAAAGAAAAGTCCATCCAACTGGGTTTGTGATCAATTTCTAATTAAATGAATATTAATGCAGTTTCCATAATTAACACTTAGTACAATAATTCTCTATGCATCCAACACATCCCTACTAACATTTAATAATACTTAATCTTAATGATATTAATCCTCCTCTTTACAAACCTAAAATTACTATCCAAATCGCTCTTCTATTATGTAAAAGAGTTATAGAAATAGTATATACATTTTCGAGTTGTGTATCACCACAGAGATAAAAAGATGATATCTCTGGCTAAAAACTCATTTATTATTCATCTAGATAAAAATAGGGCAGGCTATCTGCATTAATACTTTTGTAATAAAGAATAAAATTACGTAAGAAATTCTGCATTCAAAATAATATGAGAATGAGGTTCTAGATCTAAAAGTATTCTACTAATTGCAAAAATGCCACTGCTAGATTTCCCAAAATATTGAATGCTTCCACAAGTATAGAAATCAACATCACTTAAATAATTTTGCCATCCTAGGATATAAATAGAAGAAATTACCATCTCTTATGTTAGAAGTTGCATTAAACTAATAAAGGAGAGTTTGATGAGTTGTATACACTAAAATAATGAGTAGTATCATTTAAATTTATATAAATAATAAAATTATGTGTTTTAATAAAATGCACATAATTTAAGATTTAGATCTTCTTATTAAATTTTATTGTTATATAAATAAAAAAAAAATAATTGATAATTAAATTCATAATTTTGAATTTCAATATATTAAAATATTTTTAATTCTTGAATTCTACAAAAATAAATGAATAGGGGTTTCAATTTAATAATCAGATCCTTTACAAGAATGCTAAAAATGTGTATTTATCAGATAATAAAACATAAATGAAGACTTTATTCTAAATGAACATTAATATCCTATTCTATTATTTAATAATAATATATTTAATTCCATTATTAAGAATAATTTTGTAGATTACTTGATAAAAGTTCCAATTTTATCTAAAAAAGTGGATGAAATTTTATTATTATTGTTTATTACATTTTATTATGGCTAACCTACCATTAGGAACAAATGCAAGAAAATTAAAAATAATAGGATCATTCAAATAGGAAATGATATTATTTTCTTGTATAAATGACTTATTATGAGTGTGCCTGCTCTTGATAAATTTGAGTATATGATAATATTGATAAGATATTTAAAATATATATTTAGATTGATTACTGTAATAAAATAATTAGTATATAATATGCAATGTCTTCGTTGAATAACAGCAAATTTATTTCAAAATGTACCTTAAATCCTTGTAAAAATATTTGAATTTCTACAGAAATAAACTTTTTTAACAGCATAAATATTTATCTGAAGAATGAATTATGATATCAAATAATTCTAATAATTAAAAAAGACTGAATATTAAGATTAATAATCATTTAGTATTGTCTTTTTAAGGTTTAACTTTTTTAATCATCTAAGCCTATAGCTTATGAAAATATAAAAAGGAATAAAAATAAGTGTATTTTATATTTTATTAAATTATAAAATCAAAATGCCTAAAATTAAAATATTTTAATGAAATTGCTCTTCAGCTTTCACATAAACTAGAAATAAATATTAATATGTGGAATTAATAAAGGCAGAACCTAAACATTTAAATATATATTCCTTATATTCATGATTTAATTATTAAAATTTTTCTTTTTATTTATGATAGAAATTATATCAACTCATTTTGGTTCAGCTGGAGCACTCATTTTTTTGCTAGTTGTAAATTATTTTATATGGAAGTAGAAATATAGCTTAATAGGTTATTGTTGAAAGGTAAAAACTGAATTTGATGGAGTATTAATATACTAGTAAAAAACATGTGAAAATTCATATAAAGGTCTTTATTGATGGGATTTCACTCAAACTTCCATCTATTAAAATGAAAATATTTGATAAATCCTATTATTTATATTGTTGATCGATATGATGGATTAAAATTATTGTAAGAAGATTTTATTAATAAGAAATAAAATAATTGAAAAATGCAGGACAGATAAAGAGAGTTTACAATTGATTTTTCTGATTTTTAAGGATCGTATTTAATTTATATGGAGGAGCACCTGCTCATAATAAGGATCGTTATTGAGGTAAATATCGAAATATTATTTGAAACAACCTTTTGTAGAATTTTTTATCTTTTCATCTCCAATTTAATCTGAAACTACTATTGAGCC